GTTAAGTATTATTTCTCTACGTAATAAATCAAACATAGTGACGCCCCGCTCCTCTCCTTCCAGTTTTGGAAATGCTCCCTTATATACACTTACTTCTATATATGACATAGAATAACCAATCGGAAGCTCATAATGTCCCCTAGTGGTTTTCTCAGCCTTCTAACATACCTAGTGCCATTTTTTCTTTTAAACAAAGATTTCAATGAGGTAGGTTGTGTCTTTGGTCTGCTTGAAATTTCATATTTTTTTATACCCAAATACTGCTTAGCTAGTAAGTTTGATAAATTATGGTAGAATTCTATGGTATTAATGTAGTAATTTATGATTTTTTAGTTATTCAAAAGTATATCTAAAACCTAAAAAAGATATTTTGTTTCATATCCTCAGTTGAAAGAGTTAAAGGCCTAAAAATTTCTTGCATAAGTCTGACATTGTTTTTATTACAATATTTAGTTTTATCTGTAAATAGCTTATATGCAGTCTAAATGAAAGACTTGTAACTTATCTTTGCTCTGGCTATCTTTCAACGTGAGTGAAAACTGAATTCAAAATTTTAAAAATTCAATTTAATCATTCATCTTTCAGGTATTCCAAAAGATGCTGTTCAAGAAACTTACATGGGGAATGTGTATCAGGCTGGTGTTGGTCAGAATCCAGCCAGACAAGCAGCACTAGGAGCAGGTAACTTGTATGAGATAGTTATATGATGAAACTTATATGTAGTACAGGAAAATGATTTTGATGTGGTAGTGCAGAAAGTATGATTTGTTTATTAAATTGGCTAAAAGAATGTTTCATTCATTCCTTTTTTTAAACATTAAAAGTTTGACTTTAGTATGTCACTGTTCTCCAGAACATCTCTGTTGAGGAATAATTTTTATACCTATTGAGAAAAACACCAAGTGAGAAACATAGACTTGTACATAGACTTTCACTAATTAATAATACTTCTGAAACTAATTTAGTTTTTAGAGTCTGTGGTTTCTTATCAAATTATCATGATTGTGCTTTCTGGTTCCTATAAAAAGATTGTTTTATTTAGTATTATTTGTTTCCTTGGAAATGTTTAGTTGATGTCATCTTAGAAACAAAATATTGTTGCTGTTTGGTACGATTTTATACAAATATTTTCTCAATAATGAAGTTGGCAAAACCATCAGCTAATGGTTATTATCAAATACTTGCTTATCAATTAATGTTATAGCTTTTGATATACTCTTACCTCTTTTCATAAAGCTTTTTCAAACTTCTTTCTGCCCTCTTAGCATTGCTAAAACATTTTTATGTTCAGTGCACCAGTCCCTATACCTCATCAATTTCATGCCATTTTTTGAACATGTATACATCTTGTTACTACTCTCCACCAATAGTATTGCACCACCTATAATGGTGCAGCTAGCTCCCTCTGCCCACATCGTGTATAGTTATTTATTACTCTAGCTTGAGTGTTCTAGTTTTGGGCCCTACCATTTCAACTGACCTTGGCTCTCTAAGTGTTTTGTCTGGGAGTACAAACTCTTGCCTGACATCTTAACTCTGTGTCTATGCACTCTTATTTCTATGGATGACTGGCTCCTGCTTGCTTCTTCCCATTCACAGTCCATAGACCACAAGAAGCAGCATGGGTGGGATTCCTGATGACAGTGGGGAAGTCTGTTCTTACTCCCACTCATTACCCTGTTCATTTGGTTTTTTTGTTTATTCCAACCTCAGTCAGGCCCAGCCTTCTCATCTTCATCTTTGGAGCAGGCAGTTCACTAGTCTCTCACCCCACTTTTCTTACAGTTTGAGATGTTCTATCTCTTTGGGGGATGTGGGCTTCCTTGGAAGCTCTCATTCCCATGGGTCGCACTTGTATGTGTTCCTTCTGGTGGACACTCCTAGATCAGTGCAACTTCTTCTTTTATCCATTGAACTACCCTTTTATCCTTCTGTCACCAATCAGAGCTGACCTGGCTTGGTGGTTAGACAGAGACCAGACCATGTCAGGGTGCTGCTTACTCCACCTCGTCTGGACTTAAATCTGTTCATGGACTCATTTTTAGAGGGTTGGGGTTCTTACTTTGACTCCCCATGTCAACATTCTCGAGCCTTTGGCAGTTCATTGAGCTTTGTCCCAGTTTTTTCCTCTCCTGCAGGGGAGGGTGGTTATGGTAAATTCTGAAATTCCTAGGTGGTCACTTACATCACAGAGCAAGGGGGTAACAATTCCAGGTCTTTGTGCTTTTAGATCCTGGATCTCCTTTCTGGGACCACAGTCAAAACATTGTGGTCTTAACTTGCCATTTTCCTGGTTCCCTGAATCTGGTTATGGATCGATTATATCCTTCCAACAAGATTCTCCTTAAGGAGTGGTCCCTTGATCTAAAGATCTTTAGGTGGGTGTGTTCTTAGCTGGGGACACCTGATATTTGCCTTCGCCACCCACTGGAACATCAAACTTCCTTCCTCTTCTGTACCACACCCGCTAGCTCCGGGGGTGGTCAGGTTCTGTCAAGATTGGAGGGGGTCTTCACATCTATGCTTGCTCACTGCTCCAACCTTTACTTGTACAAACTCCCCTACCATTACCTCTGTCTCGGTCCATTTTCTGTCAACCTTGGTTGCACATTGTTCATCCAGACATCACTACACTCTGTCTTCACACATGGCTTTTGTCAGGTCCATTGTCTCAGACCAGGGATTGACTTCTCATGTTGCATCTTTCCTTCCCCAATCCATTAGACTTTTTCCATGTCCATTTACCACAGGTGATGATATACCTTCTGCCTTTGGTCTCTTCAGTGTGTTTTCCATCATTTCCACCCTTCTGTTCCTCATCTTTCCCAATTTTTCACCTGGTTGTTAGACAAAGGCTTGCCCACTTCGACTCTGTCTAGCTATTAGGCGGCCTTGTCAAATACCTTCCATTTCTCCAGGTTTCATCTGGTTTTGCCTTTTCCCATCATTTCCTTCCTTGCGTCATGCGTCCTCCAGGTTGCTTTGCTTTGGTTGATTAGGATCTCAGTGTGGTCCTTTATACCTTTCTCATCCTCCCTTTGAACCTTTGTCTTCATGTTCCATCTACCATTTTATTCTCTAGACTTATTTCCTTCTCCTCCTTGCTTGTGGACATCGTAGATCAGATAATTATGCTTTTACTATTACCTGCATCCTCTACCATTCTTCATATGTCATCCTATATCCTGACTGGCCCTTCCTCCCTCAGACCTATGCTGCCTGTGAAGGCTGTTTGTCATTCACATCATTTTCCTTACCCATATCCCATCTGTACTCCCATTCAGATACTGATCAGCTTCTTTGTTTGGTTCGCTCTTTACAGTGTTATGTGGCACATCCTGCCTCCTTTTGGACTTCATGTTCCCAATTTTTTTATTCCCACAAACCCTTCTCTTTTTCATGATCTATCTCCTGTCAAGCTAAGTAGTTAAGTTTGTCAACTTGTTAGGCTGGCATATTCAGACTTATCCATGGAGGGTTGATGCCTCCACAGTGTTTCTTCTCATCAAATTCGTTTTATCACCATGGCTTTGGCTGCTCACCCTCGCCATCCTTTGAAGGATATCGCTCAAGCCGGAACAGGAACTACTCCCTATACCTTTGTCACTCATTATCTGCATGATCTGGCTGTATCTTCCTCGGGTGGATATCCTTAATATTTTTCCTACACTGAAAATGTATTTCCGATAGGTACTTATCTCCTCTCACACCTTTCCTCCCCATGGCCAGTATTCTTCTTTTAGAGCCTGCCAATTCTCGAAAGTGAGGATTGAGCGGGAATAGCAAAAAAAAATATAGAGCATGTTTTTTAATATTATAGTATTAAAGTTATTGTGCACGTGATTATTACTGAAAGTATGCATAAGTGCTGTCAATCTAATTTATTTAGTGAATAAATAATTTTAAAAGCATGAAGAGTTGGAAGGAGCTTAAAAAACCTTTTGATATATCAGGAAATAAAGGTAAGAGATACTTATCTTAAATTTTGTATTCTCAGTGTCTGTAATTGGTGGATGGAGAATCAGAGTAGAATGGCATCACATGACACATAGAAGTGAAGACTGAGATTTTATTTAAATATTTCTTTTTAAATTAAGAACTTAAAACTTATATAATAGTAAAATTTGAAATATAATCTACATTTTGATGCTAAATTTATTGGCAAACATTGATAATGAAGTTGCTTAATTAAATTTTGAATGCCCTAAAAGCCATGACATGTGCACTTTGATTCCTACCTGTACACATGGGGTTAAGCAAGTGTGGTGCAATCTATGTTGCCAGCTTGGAACTTGGAGCACCACTATATGAAGCACAAACCAAAATACTAAGCAAGTGTGATACAATCTGGACTGCTAGATTGGAACTTGCAGTGCCACTATATTAGCACAAACATAACACTAAACAAAATTTGGCCAGCTTAGGAGATCTGATAATAGTCAAATTTTATGCAAAGTTACTTTAGGGCTATCTGTGATTTGAAGGTTTAGGTTAGTCCTAAATACATACATTAAGCTAATAATATGAAAGAATACCCATAATAAAAATATACAATAAAATTAGAAATAATATTTATGTACTGAACAATTTAATCAATACTTTTAGTGAAACTGAGATTAAAGTCAGAATAGAATGTGTTTAAAAATACCATATATTACAGCATACAAGTTGACCCCTAGATCTAAGCCAAAAAATTCTGTAATTTTCTTAACAGTGTTGTATAAGTACCCTCAAAAATTATACAGAAAGTCTATAATTTCAGCACAGTTGTTTGTCTTTTGGGCAAATTTCAAGGTTTGAATCTTCAATTTTGCTGTGCAACTTGTATGTTTCAGAAGCATTTTGTTGTGTGTGTGTGTGTGTGTGTGTGTGTGTAGTATATATATATATAGTATATATATATATATATGTATACTATACACCAACTAAACAAC